AGGATTTGTATCTCTGTCCATCTAGCCTTGCTATTTATACAGGTCTAGCACACAGTACTATCTAGCAGGGCAAGAGACCTTTTTTTTTTCATGCAGTTCAAAGAAATGACAGGACTTGCTTCCATTTCACTGGACAATTAAAGGAGAAATAACAGATGGGTAAGTTCATCTCTCTTTCACTCTGCTCTTACCTCCTCACAGCAGGTTCCTTGGTCACATGACCACTGCTGCTCAACTGATTGGCTACTTGCACTGCTTCTACTACACTCTCTAGTCTGAGCTCTGCTGTACAAGAACTGCAATAGAGTTATACTAAATTAAAACCAGGTACTGCTTGCATTAAATGCAAAAAAATTCATTTAAGGATGTACTTGTATACATACTGCTGCAGGTATTTGTGTCTTTTATATCTGCCTGGAGTTCAGTTTTAAATGACCATATCCCTGCCTCATATTTACTCTAAACATCCTTTGGCTTTTGACATGTATCATTAGGGGACTCCATCAGATCAACCAAGTTTCCTGCTAATGTAAAAAAGGCTACAAAAAAGTGGAAAATGAGATCCTTCCCTAGTGCAGGTCATTAGTGGATGGACCTGGGTCCAATGCAGCAATCACATTTCTGGGGTCACTAAGAGATACTATAAGCCAGTATTTCATTCAACTCACTTGGATCTACCTAAAACTTAAATAAATTATATGGAATGTCCCTTTAAACATATATGTCCATGTGCTTTCCCTTTAAAAGTTTCCATCATCATTTAAAATTTCTATCATCACTCAACTTTTTCTGTATATTGTCCTATATAGCTTAAATTCTGAGTTTATTTTAACAGCTTGTCATTAACGTCATTTCATCAAGATATACATTTTGTATTTCCTAGACATTTATCCAATAATATCTGCCCAGTAGTTTTAGGCTGGGCGATAACAGACAATCATTGTTGTGCTGTACTCTGAATCCAGCTCTTGAAATGTGCCGTGGTTGCCAAGGTCAGAGGTAAAAGGATTAGACATGTCTAATTTGGCCCAGGGGGTTTTGTACTGTGGACTCAGCTTTTATATTTGTATATTTTTAATAGGGCTCCACTGATGGGAAACTCTCTAACTTTTTCTTATTTTTTTCAATAGGACACAACAGGCTTATTTTATAGTTAATAAATACATGCCAAAGGGCCCTGTGTTGTTCAGCCACCCAAGAAGTGTTTTACTGATCTAATAAAACAAGCTATGGAGTCCCTTTATAATTAGTTTCATAGAGCAAGATAACTCTTGTATAAAAACACCACGTACAGGCCTCATGACATCATGTCTGCATTTGTACATGTGGTTTAATCACTGTTTCTCAAAACAAAATTAAAACAGCCTGCTTATTAAGTTTGCTGTTTTTATTTATTGATTTATTTTATGTGGTTAACAGTTATCCTTTACATTCTACTCCTGTATTTGTTTTTAGTTGTTCAATAAAATCATTTAAAACTTAAGGCACATTTAACATCACACTTCAGATGGAAACCTCGTGCAAACATCTCTGAAACACATGTTTACATGACGTTGACTGACAACAGGGCAATACCTGTCAATGATCCATTGACTGACAACTGCCAAACTATTAAGACACTTAAAGTGAACCTGCCTCTGGTGTAAAATGTTTGTAATTACACATATCTGACTGAGTGCCTTGGGAACCCGGAACTCTGCGTTGTTCACTAAATCCCAGCTTAAAGTGATTCTAGAAGTTGTATTATTTTTTCCTCAAAGAACAAACATGTTATACTTACCTGCACTGTGCAATGGTTTTGCACAGGGCAGCCCTGATCCTCTTCTTTTTGGGTCCCTCGACAATGGTCTTTGCGCCTCCCCCCTGCCAAGTGCCCCCAATAACAATTCTTTTGCTATGGGGGCACTCATTCAGGCTGGCTCCTGTTCCTGTGAATGGATATTGTCCATTCACACACAAAGCCTGGCTCAGTCCTGCCCCCCGCTCTCTCCTCATTGGCTCACTGGTGGTGATTGACAGCAGTGGGAGCCAATGGCTCCTGCTGCTGTGTAAGTCAATGAGAAAGGATAGACCCAGCAGCCCCGCTGCTCTCATGCACATCGCTGGATCGAGATGGGACTCGATAAAGGGGGGGCATAGAATTCATGAAGGTAAACAAACTTCTGCTTTTAGAACCACTATAAGCTAGAAGGCTCATTGGTTTTCTTCCCTGTGTTTAGGTTGGTTGGTTCTTTACTTATGTAGCACTCTTTACTTATGTAACACTCTTACTCCAAGTGGCTCAGTGGGTCAGCATTGTAAACCACTGGATTGAAGAGAGTTTAGATACAATAAAAACATGATATACCAAAGCAACAAACATGCAGCTCCAAATTTAATCTATACTCCACTAATCCATCACACACACACACACACACACACACCACACCCCCACACACACACGCACACACCCCCCACCACGCACACACACGCACACACACACACACATTCTTTTTTCTTTCCCCCAAACAAAATCTTGAACTACTTTTGAATGACATTTGAATGTTCTGAGAATCTTTTATTCAAATTTTCCTAATAACGTTTGATCAAAATTCTACTAGTGTATACTCAGTTTTAGACTATAGCTTCCATATTGAGTATCTTATATATTACAATAAGTTCACTTTGAAAAGCATAGGATTATTAAAATCAGGGTTAAAAATGAAACCTTTAATATAGGGTGGTGTATGTACAAGTATGCTCTCGCTGTCTTCTATAGCCAACTGATATGATTACTGATCTGGAAGCTTTACATAGTAAGAAAAGCTAAATGCCTAAATCAGACAGATGTTGCTTAATTAGGTATTGTGAAGTTGTTAGAAAGCTGATGATTTATGCTGATGAATGCAGTGTAATGAAAGTTTAGGTAATGAAGGTATGACAATAGCAAGCCTGCTTATTTTATAAAGTTTTACCCTTGTGCTTTATGCTGAAGCAGTCTTTAATATATGCAGTGCCAGCTGTCCTAGGTTTCCAAGGACAGTCCCAGATTTAAAGCTGAACTCCGGCTAAAGAAATACAAACAAACATGTGCATTCTTATCTGAATCTCTGTGTCCTTTGCATATTTTACAGATCTGCACAGTTATCTAGCATGAAACAGCTCTAACAATTCTTTATTACAGGAGTTTCCTGTATTAAAAACCAACAACTGCTGCTGTCCCTCTCTTTGCAGGGTGACTGGTCTGGTATCGCCCCCCCCCCCCACTATAGTTTTTTGTAGGCAACATGTAGTTGGTAAATCTTTTGGGTCTGCACCCACAACTCTCTTCTCTATGTATGTATGTGCAGCACAGTCATGATGCCACTGCTAATTGTACAAGGTAATATCTGGGTTTGCAAAAGGATTTGGAGCACACAAAGTAGATTTTTATCATTTCTGGCTATTATTATTATTATTATACAGTATTTATAAAGCGCCAATAGTTCACTCAGCGCTGTACATTACAAAGGGGGACAGAACATGTGACAGAACAATACCAATACAATGCAAAACATGAGGGGATCGAGGGCCCTGCTCTTTCGAGCTTACAATCTAGAAGGGATGGGATAGTGGTACAGGAGGAGATAGCTGTGGGGGATGGAGTGGTAGGAAGAGTGGAGGAGGTCAGCAAGTTAGCAGGGGGTGAGGTAGGCTTCCCTGAAGAGATGGGTTTTCAGGGTGCGCCTAAAGGAGAGGAGAGTAGGTGATAATCTGATGGGTTGGGGCAGGGAGTTCCAGAGGATGGGTGACACCCTGGAGAAGTCCTGGAGGCGGGCATGGGAGGAGGAGACCAGGGAGCTAGAGAGAAGGAGGTCTTGTGAGGAGCGGAGTGTGCGTGCTGGGTGGTACTTGGATATTAGGTCAGTGATGTAGTTCGGGGCAGTATGGTGGACAGCTTTGTACGTCAGTGTTAGGATTTTAAATTTGATCCGTTGCGCAATCGGAAGCCAGTGGAGGGATTGGCTATTGAGGAGTATATTTGAATTCATGTGAAGGGATGGGCGCTGCTCAGCCGACCCCAGGAGTCCAATGTTGAGGAATCGCCTCAGCTGCCATTCTGGCCACGCCCTCTGATGCAATTCACCCCACCCACTGTGGGCTTGGTCACATAGGTCACTACATCTGTGACCAAGCCCTGGTGGGTGGGGTGAAATGCATCAGGGGCGTGGCCACAATAGCAGCTGAGGCCATTCCTCAACATTGGACTCCTGGGGTCAATTGAGCAGCACCCATCCCCTCACTTGTATGTATTGGCTGAAACTGAAATCACTTAGGCTTATGCTCCCCTCTTCTCACTTGCTGGTGGGGGGATCCTTTTCCTTCCATCCATTGCTTAGCGTGACGCCATAAGGTATACTTTTCACTATATTTACATTCATGTTTTTTGTGCTTGAAGCTCAGTTTTAAGCTTTTCACTTAGAATATATGTGTTTCCCCAAAATATTGTTTTTTTTAGGTGTTAATTAACAAAATGCTGGGAAAATCCCACTGTTCCTGCATTTTACATTCATTATATGTCCAGAGGGTTTATTTTTCGCTTTGGAAAAGAATGAATAAAAAAATAGGTAATTTTATTGCAGTTCTAATCAGTTTGTTGATCACCTTAAATTCCTATTTTAAATCAAACCCTTTATTTCACTCCTTATTCCATTTGATTTAATATTGTTTAGAACACACCCCTTAAAAAAAGAAAACAAAATGCATTAGTAAAATAATTAAAATGAGTACCTGTTGTCTAGTGATCAGAACTGCAACCTGAACAGTCCTCTTTCTCCTTGAAGGAAAGTGTTGAAGCAGATCCAAAACATTAAGGAAAAGCTGCATGTGTGTGATGTGTTCATAACTAGAGATGAGCGAAGTATTCAAAAATTCGATTCGACTGATTCGGCGAATTCGTGAAAAAATTTTTGATTCGAGTCGAATATATTCGCCGCGAATTTAACTTATAAAAGGGTGTGTTTCTAGGCTTCAGAGAGCCTTTATATTAGTGCAGAACACTGTACCTTTAATTTAAATGCCTTGGAGTCCTGCTGGGGAAGAGAAATAATACTGACAGTCAGTATGACATGCAGATGAGTGCCGTCGATCTTAGAATCACTGCACACTTCACTCATTTGGGCAGTCACGGGGCCAAAACCAGAGTGTGGAGCCACAGTGTGGCGGTGGAGGCAGCAGCAATGGGAGGCCATACAGCACCCCTATGACAAAAAATGGAAACCAACCCAGCAGTGTGAGGAGGACCTGAAAGTGGCACATGGCAGAGTGTGGCGATGGAGATAGCAGCAATGGGAGGCCGTACAGGGACCCATGACACACTCTGGACCTGGCAGCAGCATGAGGAGGCGGTACAGGGACCCATGACAGATTACGGGCCTGGCAGCAGCATGAGGAGTCGGTACGGGGGCCCATGGCAGATTACGGGCCTGGCAGCAGCAATGGGAGGCCGTACAGGGACCCATGACACACTCTGGACCTGGCAGCAGCATGAGGAGGCGGTACAGGGGCCCATGACAGATTACGGGCCTGGCAGCAGCATGAGGAGTCGGTACGGGGCCCATGACACACTCTGGACCTGGCAGCAGCATGAGGAGGCGGTACAGGGGCGCATGACAGAATTACGAGCCTGGCAGCAGCAACTTGGACAGGAGGACGTTCAGCTTCTGCACCGTTCGGGTGCGTGCTCGCAAACTGTTGTCTCTTGGAAACGGATTCCAAGAAAGACTGCTGACGGAATCCGTGAAGAGGAGTAGCAGGAGAAGGAGCATCTGAACGAGCGGAATATGCCAGCAAGCGACAACAGGGGCCCATGACAGATTACGGGCCTGGCAGCAGCATGAGGAGTCGGTACAGGGGCCCATGGCAGATTACGGGCCTGGCAGCAGCAATGGGAGGCCCGTAATCTGCCAGCACCCTATGACAAAAAATGGAACCACACCAGCAGTGTGAGGAGACCTGAAAGTGGCACATGGCAGAGTGTGGCGATGGAGACAGCAGCAATGGGAGGCCGTACAGGGACCCATGAGAGACTCTGGACCTGGCAGCAGCATAAGGAGGGCGGTATAGGGGCCCATGGCAGATTAGGGGCCTGGCAGCAGCTATAGGAGGCCCGTAATCTGCCAGCACCCTATGACAAAAAAAATGGAACACACCAGCAGTGTGAGGAGACCTGAAAGTGGCACATGGCATGAGACACTGTGGACCTGGCAGCAGCATGAGGAGGCGGTACAGGGGCCCATGGCAGATTAGGGGCCTGGCAGCAGCTATGGGAGGCCCGTAAATCTGCCAGCACCCTATGACAAAAAAAATGGAACACACCAGCAGTGTGAGGAGACCTGAAAGTGGCACATGGTAGAGTGTGGCGATGGAGACAGCAGCAATGGGAGGCCGTACAGGGACCCATGAGAGACTCTGGACCTGGCAGCAGCATGAGGAGGCGGTATAGGGGCCCATGGCAGATTAGGGGCCTGGCAGCAGCTATAGGAGGCCCGTAATCTGCCAGCACCCTATGACAAAAAATGGAACACACCAGCAGTGTGAGGAGACCTGAAAGTGGCACATGTGGCATGAGACACACTGTGGACCTGACTCTGCAGCAGCATGAGGAGGCGGTACAGGGGCCCATGGCAGATTAGGGGCCTGGCAGCAGCTATGGGAGGCCCGTAATCTGCCAGCACCCTATGACAAAAAATGGAACACACCAGCAGTGTGAGGAGACCTGAAAGTGGCACATGGCAGAGTGTGGCGATGGAGACAGCAGCAATGGGAGGCCGTACAGGGACCCATGAGAGACTCTGGACCTGGCAGCAGCATGAGGAGGCGGTATAGGGGCCCATGGCAGATTAGGGGCCTGGCAGCAGCTAATGGGAGGCCCGTAATCTGCCAGCACCCTATGACAAAAAATTGAACACACCAGCAGTGTGAGGAGACCTGAAAGTGGCACATGGCATGAGACACTGTGTGGACCTGGCAGCAGCATGAGGAGCGCGTACACGGGGGCCCATGGCAGATTAGGGGCCTGGCAGCAGCTATGGGAGGCCCGTAATCTGCCAGCACCCTATGACAAAAAATGGAACACACCAGCAGTGTGAGGAGACCTGAAAGTGGCACATGGCAGAGTGTGGGCGATGGAGACAGCAGCAATGGGAGGCCGTACAGGGACCCATGAGAGACTCTGGACTCTGGCGCAGCAGCATGAGGAGGCGGTATAGGGGCCCATGGCAGATTAGGGGCCTGGCAGCAGCTATGGGAGGCCCGTAATCTGCCAGCACCCTATGACAAAAAATTGAACACACCAGCAGTGTGTGAGGAGACCTGAAAGTGGCACATGTTTGGGGCATGATTCATGGCGGATTTAGTCAGTTGTGTCAGGAACTGGTGGTTTGAAATCCAGACTAATCCACGCCTGATTCATTTTCACAAACGTGAGTCTCTCCACACTTTGGGTGGACAGTCGTGTCCTCCGCGGAGTTACAATACCTCCTGCCGCACTAAAAACACCGCGCTCCGATGCCACGCTACTGGCCGGGCATGACAGCCTTTCAAGGGCAAAATTCAGCTAGTTGGGGCCAAAGGTCAAGTTTCGTTGCCCAGTAGTCAAGGGGATTGTCTACCTCGGTTGGCAGGGTGCTGTCCAAGTAGGCCCAAGCCTGTTGTTTGAGGTCCTGCTCCAGGTCCACCTGATGCTGCTGCTGCTCTGCTGCGGCTGGTTAGTAGTTTCCTCACTGCGCTGGTGAAGAAAGCTACTCATCATCGACTGCAGACTGAGGCAGCCACTGCTGGTGGAGCTGCCACTGCTCCTAACCACCCCACCCCTCCTTTGCTGCCATGGCAGCGGAACGCGAGCGCACAGGGCCCACAGTGTCTGAGGATGGACGTTGGCGCACAAAGGCAGAGACCAACTGACTACATAGGTGGTTTTTTTTAGTACGTTATTTTGGCCTCCCTCTCAGCAGGTGTGAAAAAAAGGCCACCATTTTGAACGGTAGCGAGGTCCAACAAGGTGGACAGCCAAAAGTCATCCCTCTGTCTGATGGTTATTATTCGGCTGTCGCTACGCAAGCAACCGAGCATGCTATGGGCCATTTGTGCCAAGGAATGTGAGGGACTCCCTGCCTCCATCTCCACAGCATACTGCCACGGTGCATCTGGGTCCTCTGTCTCCTCCTCCTCCTCCTCTACCAGATGCTCCTGCTCCTCCACTCCTGTCCGCTGAGTGGAAAAACCACCCATTTCACTCAATAATTCCTGAGCACAAATGTCCTCCTCTACCTCCTCCTCTTCTTCCTGTCCTGCCCCCACAGGGGTCATGTGGCGTTGAGATCTGTGCGCCACGTCTACCGCACCCTGACCAGCCATTGTTTAACAGCATTTGTTCCAGGACGTGCAACAGAGGAATGACGTCGTTCATCCCATAGTCCTGCCGACTCACGAATAGCGTGGCCTCCTCAAAGGCCTGAGCAAGCGGCAGGTGTCACGCATGAGCTGCCAATGGCTGACATCGAAGTTACACAGGGGAGTACCTTTATCCACTTGTAACATCAGGAAATCGGTGATGGCCTTTCGCTGTTCGTAAAAGGCGGTCTACCATGTGTAGGGTTGAATTCCACCTTGTTGCAAACGTCGCAGATCAGGCGATGCTGTGGAATTCCGTTCTGCCGCTGCAGCTCAAGGAGGGTGTGCATTTGCGGTGTAGGAATGGCTGAAATGCATGCAAAGTTTACGTGACATTTTAAGGATGTCTTGCAGTGGGATGGTGTGGATTTTAGGAACCGCTTGACAACCAGATTGATCACGTGAGCCATGCATGGCGCATGGCACAACCTTCCTTGACGCAGAGCAGACACCATGTTCTTTCCGTTGTCGGTCAACATGGTTCCGATTTTCAGTTTGCGCGGAGACAGCCATCTGTCGATTTCTCTGTTCATTACACTGAGAAGTTCCTCCCCTGTGTGACTACGTTCGCCTGGACCTGGCAGCAGCATGAGGAGGCGGTACAGGGGCCCATGGCAGATTAGGGGCCTGGCAGCAGCTATGGGAGGCCCGTAATCTGCCAGCACCCTATGACAAAAAATGGAACACACCAGCAGTGTGAGGAGACCTGAAAGTGGCACACATGCGATGGAGACAGCAGCAATGGGACCGTACAGGGACCCATGAAGACTCTGGACCTAGCAGCAGCATGAGAGAGGCGGTACATGAGGAGGCGGTACAGGGGCCCATGGCAGATTAGGGGCCTGGCAGCAGCTATGGGAGGCCCGTAATCTGCCAGCACCCTATGACAAAAAATGGAACACACCAGCAGTGTGAGGAGACCTGAAAGTGGCACATGGCAGAGTGTGGCGATGGAGACAGCAGCAATGGGAGGCCGTACAGGGACCCATGAGAGACTCTGGATTTGGCAGCAGCATGAGGAGGCAGTATAAGGGGCCCATGGCAGATTAGGGGCCTGGCAGCAGCTATGGGAGGCCCGTAATCTGCCAGCACCCTATGACAAAAAATGGAACACACCAGCAGTGTGAGGAGACCTGAAAGTGGCACATGGCAGAGTGTGGCGATGGAGACAGCAGCAATGGGAGGCCGTACAGGGACCCATGAGACACTCTCTGGACCTGGCAGCAGCATGAGGAGGCGGTATAGGGGCCCATGGCAGATTAGGGGCCTGGCAGCAGCTATGGGAGGCCCGTAATCTGCCAGCACCCTATGTCAAAAAATGGAACACACCAGCAGTGTGTGAGGAGACCTGAAAGTGGCACATGGCAGAGTGTGGCGATGGAGACAGCAGCAATGGGAGGCCGTACAGGGACCCATGAGACACTCTGGACCTGGCAGCAGCATGAGGAGGCGGTATAGGGGGCCCATGGCAGATTAGGGACCTGGCAGCAGCTATGGGAGGCCCGTAATCTGCCAGCACCCTATGTCAAAAAATTGAACACACCAGCAGTGTGTGAGGAGACCTGAAAGTGGCACATGGCAGAGTGTGGCGATGGAGACAGCAGCAATGGGAGGCCATACAGGGACCCATGAGAGACTCTGGACTTGGCAGCAGCATGAGGAGGCGGTATAGGGGCCCATGGCAGATTAGGGGCCTGGCAGCTATGGGAGGCCCGTAATCTGCCAGCACCCTATGACAAAAAATTGAACACACCAGCAGTGTGAGGAGACCTGAAAGTGGCACATGGCATGAGACACTGTGGACCTGGCAGCAGCATGAGGAGGCGGTACAGGGGCCCATGGCAGATTAGGGGCCTGGCAGCAGCTATGGGAGGCCCGTAATCTGCCAGCACCCTATGACAAAAAATGGAACACACCAGCAGTGTGTGAGGAGACCTGAAAGTGGCACATGGCAGAGTGTGGCGATGGAGACATTCCACCGACTGTTTTGCTCGCTGGGCCAAGCTGCCACCCTCTTCTCCTGATGATGCGGAAGCAATAGCCTGATGACGACGAGGCTGCCAAGTGCGATCAGCCTCATCATCATCAATTAGGGTCTCCGCCTCACTACTAGCCCCC